TCAGTCAAAGTCCCTTTTCTCTAAAATATAAGCAAAACATGGAATTTAGAAGGGAGGTTTGATATTCTAGTAACTGAAATTTGCTTTGTGAATCTTATGCCCTGTCTTTTATGTTTATTAAATACCTTATTAGATTTTAAACATTTCCTAGGCAGTGGATTGCAAATCCCAGACCCTATAGATTTGCGTTGTTGGATAAGTTAGTGACCGCAGGGGGCAACAGGCCCTCAACCAAGTGTTTTATAAGGGGGGGGGGGGGATAATTTTGGCCCACTCTCAAAGAAAGATATGTAAAGAAATGTGGAAAAGACATCTGTACAAGGATTAGAATTGTAGACGTTAGTTGTTTCATTTTGCTCAAAACACAATATTTTTTCAAAAATAATTACAAGAAAGGTTTACTAAAGCAAAATCCGCGCTAAAAACGTCAATAAATATCGGGCTGTTCTAATTTTGCTGTTACTCGTAATGAGCGTCAAGATGGCGCCATATTGGGGTAAAGGTGGTATATTGTGATTGTCATATCTTCTTAACGAGTCTGGTGACCCCGACTTTTTTGTGTGATTTTACTTAAAGTATATCATAAACTCCAAACCTGGGAAGTTTCAGTACATTCTCACTTCTGGAACAATTACTGCGGAATTACCTTAACTATGGTTTTGATGACGTCAGGAGTTGGGTTAACCGTATAAAACTGCTGTAAAATGACTGAGTAACAGTCATAGATATCTTATATACACTAGATAGCGCATCTCTTTTAGAAAAAATTGAAGCCAAGAATATTCCAGCGGTTACCCCCATTTGAATAGATGGCAGCCATGTTGGTCGTTCCCACTTGCTAATAAACGCTTAAAAACAACAATAACTTTCATCGTTTGAATAGTTTAAAAACGTATTTAGAATAGGTTTAACTTAATATTTAAGTTCCCTGTTTAAGAAATAGAAAACATACGAATCTTCTCATTTCATGGGAACGACCTGAGACTGCAATCACGGCTTCAATTTTTGAATTGCAGAATAATTAGATGCACAATCTAGTGTATATGAGATATCTATGGTAACAGTACAAAATTGTTTGAAATGTTTTTAATTATTTCCAAATTTCAGAAACAAGAAACGAAGTTTTGGAGCCATATTTGTCACTTATTCTGAAGATAGAAAATTAGCGTGACCCCTCTCTTGGCGTAACAACGTAACATGCATATCCTATCAATAATCCAAGATGGCGAACAGCTCAGCAAGATATATTTAAGAGTTCTTTCAAATGAACTAAACTATTTTTTTATTGCCAATGTCCTTTAACAATTTTCTAACTTGATATTAATTATTCGTGACACTACTAATTAAGGTCTTCATTTATCTGTAACTTTAATTAGATAAGCATGCTTTACCATCTGTACATATTTAAAAATTTCGTTAGGAGCGATTAGGTCTAACATAGGCTTTTTTTATCTGAAGATAGACTTTCCCAAAGTCCTTTCCAGTTTTCGAGATCGATCTGTGGGCAAGTCTAATCTGAAGAGTGCCACGTTATTTACGTGGTACGAAACCGTATATAGCAATAAACATGCCAAACAAAGCTTGTTATATTAAGGCTATTCTGCCAGCTGATGATATGGGCTTGGGAAAAACTTTTCGGGTGATTGGTTTTATGTCTGCATTGGTTTTATTTCTGGGAAAGACTGGAACAAACGGTTGGATATTTTTGGAGAGTTTTTTCACCTGACGTTTTATGTGCTCCACCACAATGAACCTGATAATCCGCAATACTATTAAACCTTTTTCCACTTTTATTTGCCATTTCATTCTAATATCGGACGATTCTCATCTTCACTCCCTAACTGTTTTTAGCTCAGGACCTTTTTAAAGAATCCGTCCATGGGGGAGAGGTCTCGGCAAAAAGCGACCATACTATACCGCTGAGTTTGGAGAGATGACAGATAGTTTTTGGTGACAAAAAGTTCGGTGTGGTATGTCATAACAACGAGAAACAAAATAAAAAAGTTAAAAAAAAACAACGAGAAACACAAGAGAAAAAAACAACGAGAAACAACAAGAGAAAAAAAACAACGAAAAACAACGAGAAACACAAGAGCTTCTAACAACACCAATACAGCGAAGTACTAAGTACCGCAATACAGAACAACGACTTTCCAAATATCGTTTTGGATTAGAACAATCAGAACTTTGGAACACTTTAACGGACACGTTAGACTTAAGTATGGAAAACCTGGGCACGTTTAAGTCAGTAATGCAAAGATATTATTTTGCCGCATTGGAGAAAGCGTACGAATCGAATGTGATGATCCAAGAACATTTAAAACTATCTGCCTGAAATGTAACAGTGCAAGAACGTTAACCGAACCAGTGAACTGTTGTTTTTAGACGTTTTAATTGTACATATGTTTGTGTTTTAATCTTTTGGGCCCACATTAATTGGCTTTCCAGGCTGTTGTGGTTACCCAGCCATCATTTTAGTGTGTTTGTGTTTGCGTTTGTGTGCATGGGTGCGTATGTGTTTATGTATATCATATAATGATGGAAAAGCAATTAAGTTAAATTAAATTAATAGTAGGGGGTCTGGGGATATTCTCCCCGAGAACATTTTGTATTTTTCCACCCCTAGGACTACATTTCTTACGAAATGAAGAAAATATAATAACAAGCGCATATTTGGGCGTGAAATTCGCTGTTTACTGTGGTAGGTTTCACAAAATGTGACAGACATGAAAGCGTGGTAGCATTGGTAGGCTATAGATTAAGGTATATGTATTGCATGAAAGTTAAGGCAAAAATAACTAAAAAAATGGGTGGAAACCTAAATCTCTCCCCCCAGTGTATATTTAGCAAAGTGTCCCCACAATGTGTGGAACTAAAATGGTCTAAAACAGAGAGCTCCATATTTTCTGGAGTGAGAACCCGAGTCGAAAGAGTGAAGCCAAGACGGAGCTATTGGACATCAGTTTTAGTCCCTTTCTACATTGTTTTTGTCTGTGCAGTCGCGATCGGACACAAAACTGCAAGGAGTGTGCCAAAATTTCGTATTTTTACTTCATTTTAAAAACAAGCATTCAGACTTGGAAAAAGTATACAATGTTCCTCGGATCCTAAGTTTGCCCATTTCAAATGTTCCTCAAAGCGCGCAGAAACTATGGGGTATATTATTTTGCATAAATTGACTACTTATATAAAAACTGTTCAAAAAAGTACTGTATATTTATTGTTTTTATATTTATTTGACTATAAAAATTACGCCTTCACTTTTACATTGCTTTTACAGCTTACTAACCTTACTTAGGCAGACTGAAATAGAGCCAATAACAGGCTTTAGTTTGTATTTACCTATTGCTCGTTTGCAATCGACGCCATCCTGGTTGATTTTTCAGAACATCTAAAAATCTATATTCTTCTTTCTTTGTCGTATTGTGCCAGAAATCGTAAACTATCCATAATACAGTAAAATGTTTTCAAAACAAACAAAAAATATTAAAGTAACTCAACTATTTCGATGTAAACGGCTGGACATGAAACTTTAAAATCAACAAAGATGGGGCCTAATGACACGTAGTGTGCAAGCAAAGAATACTGTAAAATGGAACCAATGGCTTCTTTAATAGTTTAGTAGGGCATACCACCAGTAGATATATGTTCCTCGTGGCATATTGTCAGCAAAGTATAGAAGTACGCACTATCGCATTGATATTCATGGATAAAAATTAAATTCAAAAAGATTTTCTTCAGAAATTCATATTAATCTAAACCTCTACCAGCTCAATTATATTGTCATGCATTATTTGATGGAAAATTAGTGAGGAAAGATTATTGTTTCGTACTGTTAAATTAAAGGGAGTTAAGTACAAGTTTGTTTCACATTATGATCTGAAACACGATTAGACCTTTAAAATGTGGAAAATTCACAATGTTCCT